GCTCAATGAATCAATGTCACGATGCAAATCGAAGACAACAAATGAACGAACCTAATACATTCACACTTATGCCCAAACGGCAATGCACAGGCGATTGCCAATTCCATTAATATCACGGTGTTTAGTAAATCGTTGTAAATTTGAAACTGAACAGTTACATAACCTGTGCTGAAGGTCACAGGCAGTAAATATGAAAGAACGAACGAACGAACGAATGAATGTCCTTTGTTGTTGCAGTAAGGATTGCCTAATGTCAATCTGATATACCATTTCCGAAGGTCAGACATCATAAATCTGGATTTCCGTACTGTTTAAACTCTGCTCTTGGTGACGATGGCAAAACAACAGTGAGTAAAAAACTGTTGAGTGATTCATCCCCATGACCTGACAATTTGTTCAGACGTTGAAGCAAGTTCCAAAGCTGTTGCAGTTCGCGGACATGATGCGGAAATTTTATGCAGAGGACGGCGAGATGGATTCAGCAAAGGATACGCGTACGCGAAATCTGCAACGGCAGGAGAAGTCTTCAGCGTACTTGGCTCTACTGACGTCAAGTGAGACGCCATCTCTGATGGTGACGGTGCCCAGCTTTTCACTTTTCCCTTAATTTCGAAGCCAAATGAGAAACGTTGCCTTTCGAGGCTGTTGGTTTGCTTGGGATTTCAAAATAATTTACTCTATTGACAGTAGCAAGTCGTTTTCAGTTCTTGATCAGACATCAAGCATAAAAAGTGAGAGCTTTTTGCGTCTTAGACCGTACACTTAGACTCTACAAAGCTGTCAGAAGCTCATTCAGTCAGAGTTTCACAGAGACAGTAGGAACTAATGGAAGAACCTTATTTTCCAGAAAGTAAATAGCGTCAAGATTCGCGAGCGGCACGACTTTCCTCAAGTAGCGCCATCGAAGTAACGAGATTGATCCAAAGAAACCTATCACGTTTGACCAATTTTTCAATTCTGCCAACTCGACGTACTCAAAGTAAGCTGTAGCAATGCGGTCACGTGGTACTGCTTTTTAAAGGAGATCATGGTTGACTCAGCCCATTTAAATACTGCTCGGTTGCTTCCAGTGATTCAGCTGCAAACCAGCAAGTCAGCCAGGCCTCGATTTAATACAGCCTTAATAAAGCAAACCGCTGGTCCAGGCGGCAGTCGAAGCGGTAAGCTCTTCATGAAGCTTGAACAATGACTACACCTCTCTAAGCAGCATGGCAATAAAAAAAATTAAACTGAGGCTCACGTATAGCAAGGCGGGTTTATAACCGTTGATTAGTACTTTGCTCGTCTAATTTTCTTGCAATCAGGTTCGGTTCGAAAACTGGATAGAAATGTCAATGGAAACAGTTCTACCGGTATATACGGCGGTATTGAAACCCCATCGTTCCGCTCCCGGTATTGCATCCCTACCGCTAATAGAGATCTGCTGTTATTTCCAGACATAAATGATGCAACATGCATCGCAGAAGTCACAATACTATCGATCCTTAATACTTTTTAAATGGCCTAATAGACTTTAGGAGTAAACAGGCGCAGAACCGTAACGAAGGAAAAGTGAATTGCAGATTATATTCGTGAAAATTCTGGAATTAACAATAAACAATCAGTTAGCTGCGACAATAGCATGACATTGGAATAAATTTGTAATTAGAACAATACATTCGTCACGATGTAGCTCTTGACAGAACAGCATGCAAAGCCTGCTCAGAAACAAGACGTTTTTCGATCATGTAAGAATAAAATAGAAGCAACTGAGTGAAAAATCATATATTCACCATTGGAAAGGATGGTGACCTAGAGGCAAGTCATTCAGATTTGCACGTCAGAGGTTCGATTCTGAATCTAGATTGGGCATAAATGATTTTTTATTAACTGGTAATTTCATTAAGGAATTTGTCGCATTGTTCTTCAACGTAACCAACTCAGAAACGGTTGGAAAATGGATGAGCTGGGAACACTAGGGTAGTGGCTGTGATTATGCCAAAGCGTGTGAGCCATACCTTTCTCTGTGTACCGTTTGCGACTGTGATTCACCACGATTCGTTTTGCAGCATATTAGCATCAGGTATGATAACAAAATAAAACAAAGTGAAGTTCGTTCTAGTCAAAATACTACACCATTTGATGATAATGTTCGTTGGAAACCAGTTCCTCATCCTTTCCTCTTTTCCTTATCATACGTCTGCCTTTTGAAAAACAAGATTACACCTTACAGCGCATAACTCATCCAAGGTCAGATTTCACGGCGTCCTGTACTGCCCTCTTGCTCATAATTGCTCAAGGCGGGATCTTTTAAGCCTGCCAGGATTCCTCTGTATTTTAATACCTGCAGTGCCAGATGCATCTAGCATAATTTTATTCGCTAGGGTTAATTCGCGTTCATTACAATCGATATTTCGGCAACTAATTCACCGGCAACCATATTTTGATGTGAATGTTATAGCACTAAAGGACTATCAGGTATCAAGAAATTAGCTGCGGCTTGCGCATGACAATCCATCGTTGGAGCATCTTCACCTCACACAAGGGCAAAGGACACTGCCGGCTTTTCGGCATGTTTAGTTCTGTTCTGATGGCCTGTTCTGAAAAACCTTCCCTCAGTCTTGCAAATGATATGGAATTCTGCTGTGAATTAAGAGATCGCAGTGAATGGCAATGAACTGTTTCGAAAGTAGACCGGAAGTACCTAGGCAACTGCAACTTCTGGAAGCTTCACGATTCGTTTCAGTACTGCACTGTCCGTGAATTAATCAGAGGATTATCGGTATTGCAGATAATTCAAAAAGTAACATTTCGAATAATTAACCTTACTTCTATCGTATCATAAAAACTATCATAAAAACTTTACTAAAAAATTACGACCACTTAGCATTAAATACAATACTAATGCTATATATAGAAGTTCCAATAAAGTTAATGACATATTAACTAACTCTGATAATAACTATTCACCCCACTGCGAGAAATACTAATAGGAGAAACTGAAAATACCGTCACCCAAGAAACAAGAGGCCACCTATGAAACTAGAGAAGATGGATGACCGCGAACGACATGCGGCAACAAAGAATCTAGAAAGAAAACAGTCTTCCTCCTAACAAAGTCAAAGAACAGTGAGAAAGCCTCGGGGATGGAGCAACACGCAGCAGAAAAAGGTCACCTCTCCCAGCGGTTAGACTGCACGTCCATCGTTAAAGAAAGAAAATGGAATCAGACGAATCAAAGAACCCCTAATTATCCAATCATTCGAATATGTCAACCTGGACAAAGGAAACGAACTTTGCGCGGATTGGACAAGTCTTATCAAGCCGGGGACTCAAAAAACGACTTAACCAGCAGCATAGACCAATAACACACTTCCGGCTACAGAAGCTACAATAGCTGCGAATCGCACAACCAACCACAGAAACTAACCCGAACCACTCTAAAGAAGGTAAGACGAGCCAAAACGTTGTTGCTGGCCAAACACCCGATTGATTAACTTAATTATTTGCGTTGTACATACGTAACCGATTTCATGCACTTTTCAGTATCAACACCAACACATGAGCAAATTACCCAATCTTTGGATGGCAATCGATCCTTAAATTTCCAGGCATTATCTAGGTGAACACCTTCTTCAGGACATGCTAGAGGGTCATTCACTGACAGCTGCTGATCTATCAGTTGCACAGTTGCTACACTCAACCGTTGGGGAGTTGTAGCAGTTTAGATACGAACAAGCTGAATGAAGTTAGTGGAAAGCAACTGTGAAGAATACAAGCTATTGAGGTATCTGATGTGCCCCTGCCTAGTGAGAAATTTCGTTTAGAAAGTATAACTTTATATGATTCACTAAATCGCGAGCACGAACTACAATCAAGCTTTTTCTTCAAAATCAGACTCTAACTGTACCATTCCGCTGCCACACCCAATTTTTGAAATTAATCGTAAAATTTTATACGGAGCATTTTCTCAGCTTTAGCCGACAGATTATCAATTAAACGGAAATTTTGAAGGTCAAAACTTCGAAATGTATAAGTTGTGATAAGAACTTGTAATCAACTCCAAGCTACGATTTTCATGACTTGAAATAAAACGTTATACTCAGGTCACTCAATGATCTTTGGGGACCCATTAGCAAAAAACAACGCAATGCAATGTAGCTGGTATGTGATTCAAGGAACACGCGCATCCCTCTACTGTGTCGCTGCAGGCCTTCCTTAATTTTTTCCACTGCACTAAACGAAGGAATATGTTTAAATTCAAGTATTTATTTTAAAAGAATGACAGAAAAATCAATAACTTCTAGTCAGGAAATAAAATATAACAGCATCAACATAAAATTTTAACAAAACTATGGAGAAAACATTCTGAAAGACAACAAACAAGTTTTTTAACGTTCAGAGTTTAGTAAAGTGAAAGGGCAAAATGAGGCATGAAAACAACAAACAACTTTTGCACATGATGAAACCTTCCCCATCCCTACTTTCTTTCTCAGACTGCACAACACGCCGACAGGTGACATCATTTCAAAACAAGTTTCAATCGTTGTATACTACACAATGACATAGTTCATCGTACACTGCTGGAAGACAGAAGATTTTTACACAACGAATAACTGGAAAACACGTATTTTACAAAAGCGTTGAGGAGTATTTACCAGGCAACTTCGGCGTTATCTAGCGCAGTAGAAGCGAAACTAACACGGTAATGCCCGAAGCAGTCCAAAAAGTTAAGGCACTCTGAAATGCTCAATGTTAACTGTAAACAAAGATTTTTATATCTGATCCAAAAGCACTTTTTGTGGTATAATTAGCTGATAAATACAATACAAAGCAATAATGCGAGCAGGCAAGAAAAACGATGAACGTCTCCTGGCTGTCCCATACTAATCAGTAACAGCCTCAAAGCGCAATTCAGCGCCAAACTCAGAAACTTCCAGACGGACATAGCTTACGGCTATTCATAACGAAACAAGGGGGCTTAAAAATGAAGGCAACGGAGATGAGCAACGAGTTTGAAATTAAATTCCACACAAGTAAAGCTCCACCGGCCTGTTTCCGAGCAAATGATGGTTCTTCTCCAACACTGCCCTCTCCGCTTCGCTGCGGCAAGAAAACAAAACAAGAGCATCGCCAGTCGGTTGACCGTTGGCATTCCGTTGAATCTGAACAACATCTGAGGTGATCTAAACAAAACAGAATAAGCAGCACAGTTACCAGCGATAAATTTCAGCACTCTAAGAAGTACAGGTAACGGTCACATAGTTATATTTTTAAGCAATTAAGCAACTATATACCAGGGTTGCTCAGCCAATATAGCATCTGATTCACAACGGCAAGATCTTAAGACCGTGGGCTCGAGCCCCAGTCAGTCAATTCGCCTTTCATTTTTCCTAGGAAAAACAACCACGGCTTGGGAAGGAAACAGATTACACGCTATAATGGTCCACTAACTGTAGATAAAACCTCAAAAAGAAAGCAAAAGGCAGTTTTGGCTTAAGCCGAGGAAACGGAGATTGGCGCCGCATCATAAAGTTCATGAAAGAAGAGTGCAATGCATGGCGCCAAGTCAAGAAATGGCAAAGTAGACTGAAATCCCAAAGATTATGAAGACTGCTTTTTATATTTAGTAGTAAGAGCAAACATTTGGATTTTTTATTGTCAATAAAAGTTCCTAGCGCCTGGTTCGTTTAACTTCGTTAACTTAGAGAGAGAATTAAGGGTTACGATATATATTAATCCCAAGAAAAGTATTATGAAATCTTTTAAACTACGTTTTAAACCAGGGATGCTAGCTGATGAAGATGCAGTTTTCTACGATGTATAGAAATTAAAAATTATCCTACCTCAGAAAAGTCTCGGAAAAAGCTCACAATTTCCGCAACTGTCGTGCCGTAGGTCAAGCCGCGCATCAGAATGACAGCGGCATGAAAATTCGTTGCTGCGGAGGCAAAATAATTTGTTGGAGAAACGGGAGGCGTTGGATATGGCCAGTAAAGAATGGCGCCCGGTGACGAAGGTAGCAATCCTGCCAGGCCTATAAAACGATCGGCAGTAAAACCAGTGAAGAACAGACCTTCATCATAAATACGCAGGTGGCATTGAAGGGTTGAAAAAAGCAACTTTAAGGCCTAGTAAACAATAAACAACTACGTTAATTTATGCAATTAATAAATTTGGGAGAAAACTTTTTTGGAAGCTGGCAATTCATTTCTGCGACTGTAACTGCCCGTCAACTGCTGTCGAATTACTTTTTGGAGCAATCTTCTCAGGTTTTTTCCCTACGACTCTAAGTCTTTGAACTGTAATCTTAAGCTCTGTAGCATGCTGACTTATCGGTTTACCCGCTGTCAGAGCTCGATTCCTAAACATTCCCACGGGTCCTGGTATTTTTTCCAAGTATGCAGTCCCTGTCCACCAAAGTTTCCAAGAGTTTGTAACCTGTTCTTCTGCTGATATCAGCATAAGTTGGCTTATATTTCCAAAAAACCACTGTCTCGACTCAACATATACTGCATCAAATTCGAGAGGTGTTCCACTGCCTGGTTTCAACTACAGTGCGGCGTCAAGTCTACCAAGTTAATTAACATTAGGTGACTAATTTCAAGGGCAGTACTCTGAAACATTGAGCTTTATTTAGCGCCAAACTTTCGCGCATTCACGACACAGTACCCGGAAGAGTTGGCATTCGAGCGGCAGCGTTGATTATGTTTGGCAGACCGGCAGATGCTGCGGTTGCAAACGCGGCTGCGGCTAACATATTGTTCTGAAGTAAATTTCCACCACCCGAAGCGAGCGTTGGCGGCGTCCAGTACGGAAATCCAGAAACTGAGCCGGGCAACAGATTTGGCGATAATGTT